ATAGATGTCAGCGTCAAATTTCCCCTGGGATTCTTCATGGTGCAGCATTTCTTTGGATCATGCCTGTCACAATCCAGCACCTAAACAACTGAACAATTTCCTCCAGGTAGTTTGTCTGTGAAGTGACTGAATGCTCAGCCCTGAAAGAGGCTCGTAGCCAACAGAAATGAAGATAAGAATACACCCGTATGTCGGGCGGCTGACGTGCATGTGTATGACTTGTCCCTTCCACGTTCGTCTGATGCTTACTTTGCCGACCTAGCCCTGTTGATCCTCCACCCACTACATGCCTGTGCACATCGTGATCACTTAGCATCTGCTTATATTTTCTCGCATCTTCCATAGAATATTTCGATCCGCCTTGTGTTCCATTTAGTGTTTCCTAACGAACTTGGTATCCAGGGGGCACAGACTTCTTGTGGGTTGGGAAAATGGCAACCATTAGAAAGCCCCGTTAATCACACGTTCCGCACTACAAGTAATCGTTTCTGGGATTCAGATTAACTGCACTTTGTTTTACGTTTCATCGTTATCGTCATCGTACTCATATCTCGCATCAAGGTCTCTGAATTAAAGTCAACGCTTATGATGACCCGGTCCTTATTTCCTCGACGCATTTCATTAACTTGTTTAGGAGAAGGGACAGTCTACCAAAACCCATGTGAACTCTGTTGGGTCTTGTTTTGACTTGTCTGTTAATTCGACGCCGCCAGTTCGATTATGCGGAAATCGAGAGCATTTGTTCCATAAGTTCCGTAGAGTCTTCCGCATGACGTACCCAAACAGCTGAAGTAGGCGATTGTGGATTATTACATCCAATTTCTCTGCATCGTTTACGTATTGCTTTGTTGAGGCAGCAGTCGCACATGGAAGCAGTTGGCATCTCTTCAGTTGGGTCTTTTCTCACTTCTGATCTCCTTAAGTCCTCAAAAGTGATGCCTCAAAACTGTAGGGGCCAGACAGGCGAATAATCGATTGTGCGAGCCTTGGTCTTTACGTTGGTTTCATGCTGTCGATGATGTTGATGATGATGAATTGCAAAATAATCATTCCTGTGGAGGTTAACCTTTTAGAAAGCATAGTTGAGCCAAGCCAAGGGTTTGATCGATCACTCTAAAGAAATTCTTTGTGTATTACAATATACGGTTTTCACAGCATTGGCTTCTTGCACAGTTTGGAGAGTAAACTGGTCGATGCGACTGAGTGACTGTTGGCAGATACAGCCCGCGCTATGTACAGCTCTATCAGCATATTAAAAGCCTACGATTTGCATGTCGGAAAACATCAGTGGCAAGGAGATTTTTCTCAGGTGCAGTTATAAATATCGCCTCGCCTTTTGTTCAAGTGTGCATTTCTAGCCTGTGCACACGCAAGTGCGACCTGTAATTCAGTGAAAAATTCTTCAAGTGCAGTTATTTAGTATCGTCAGCATGGATTTTTGATTCCCGAGCTAATCTCACCTACCACACCTGACTGTTGTCCTTCTTGCTGTTGGTTTGGAATCACGGTTTGTCATCTCTCCCAAAGGAGGGCTAGTAAACTGTCAACTGATATATAGCACCCGATGCTTTCATCCGTCCACTTTGAAACCGTCATTCCAAGAATGCAGTAATCAGCAAAACTGTGGCATTACTCGTTTCCTCTTTAGTGCTGTGGCGTTCGAGGGCTCATTTTGGGCAGTATAGCGCTTAGGCTTGATTCTCCTTGCATTTTTCTAGTGGATTTCAAACAGCTATCACATTCGCCTCCTGGTGGCCAATGTGATTGAAGTGGACGGCTGGAGATACCTAGACTATTTGCCAGCGGAACAATGGGCAGGTTCCTGATATTTCATCCTTGCTATTATTAGTCCCTGGCTACTTGGACGGCACGAACAAAGGTACAATAATATCAGCTTTGTTTTTTGGAATGCCTTACAATTACATTCGCCACTTTTTTCACTCATACAACTCTTTCTTACTTTCTCTTTATTACAGCTCATCTACCCGACTGTCAATGCCAAAGCTTTTGCCTATCTAGCCACTGTGGCTGGCGATGCGTTGAGTCGCCAGTTGAATCGCATCCTACCCGCGCTGTTGACCACGGTGGCGCAGGCAGATTGTAATCCAGATCATGAAGAGGTAAGTTCGTGGTTTCCTTTGGATTTTTCATTGATTATCAGCGTATGCATCAGTTGTATTTTAACAGACGATGGTGTCCAACTGTGGTACACTTGCAAAGAGTATACTGTGACAAAGAATAATGTGGAGGCAGGAACGAGTTGGGGTATTAGTAGAGAGCCATGGAAAAGAGCCGAGAGCAAGGTCCTTACGCCTTTCAGTAGCATAGAATATACTACATCTCAACTTAATATGGCATCAGTTGGGCATTATTCTAACGGTCATGTAACCTCGGTAATTTAAACATGATCAAGAGAAGAAAATTGATAATTAGACCCATTTCGAAATGGTTGGTCAATAATAGATTACCGAAAACACGAAATAAAATAAAGCTATTCTTGACGCGGTTGCTAACTGAACAGTCAATACACAGAAGGAACCAAATGAACTAGCTTACTTGATTCGCCCTGAGAAGGACAAACCAGCAATTGATTGTTCATAGCCCTATTGAAAACCTCTGTACTTTGAATGTCGTTTCCAACTGTTCAGTGCATGCAATAGAAGAATATTATTAATTGTAGACCAAGATGAATTTCAGCTGAATCTCGTGTCAATACCAACTTTACTTGCAAATGGGTATTTTTCCCACTATATGGACGAATTCGTGTTCAGCTTGGAAATACGCTTTCTGGTAATTCGGTAGACAGGCCTACCTGGTGAATTTCAAAAAGAGCAGAAGTAGTAGCCGGCTGTTCAGAGTTTCCATCGACTTTGTGTGATATAGGTCAAATCGGAGTTAACTCAAGAGTTACGTCCTTTGGACACAGTGCAGGAATGAATCGGTCGATCGCCGCTACCTCAGCCAGTTCGAGTTTTGATCCATGAACAGAATGACGGACGCTGACGCCAAATCGACCCGTTGACTTGTGAGCAAAAGATGTTTGCAAAGCGTTGACTGCAGGTATCTGTTATTGGGTTCGTGACCCAACGGGAGACGCGATTCTCCTTTATGGTCTTGAATTGGTTCTTTCTGTGTGACTTTCTCTGTGGTTACATTCAAACTGATATGGACAGTGGAATTCGGCCCCATAATTGAAAGTAGTTGTAATGCCTGAATCAGGCTTAGAACCCCGAAGTCTGCAGATTTTTTTTACATTGTCGGGCTGAAACTGAGCGGTTGGCTCTTCTCCTTGTGAATACTGTCCTTTTGCATACATGGTCACATCTACGAGGTTTTGTCGTTTAATGAAGTGCAGCGCAGCTTCTGTGGAATCTGGTTGCAGATCCGTTGAGCCTGTGACAACAAGGTTTGGCTGTTCCAGAGGTTTGGCACTTGAGAAGGACGCATGCATGTCCGAACATTTTGATTTTCCGCAAACCTCTAACAAATCGGTCATGTGATGAGCGCCTAAATTTGGAAGGCAGTCATCAATTTATTCATGTCATTTTTTATACGTAAATTCCACTGCGGATCAAGAAATGCCTTAGACTCTGAATTTCTGCCCAAGTAGCAGCCAAGTGGCATGCATGGCTATTCAATAAGGTCGCTGTTGCTAGCGTGTTTGGAGCGCCGGCGGTTGTTATCGGGTTTTACTCCTAGGTATACGAAAAAGAAGTTGTTTCTTTCTTGTTTATCTTTTCTTCATTATTCTTTGACTTAAAGGACGTGACGCACTGCGCAGAGGTGCTTATCTGTATCTACGATCTAGCTGGTGTGCGATACATCTTCAATACGTTGCTTAGTGGCCTCGTTGTTGGTTCATCATCCACATCCACTACTACCGGAGGCTCAGCTCCTACAGTTACCCCGAACCAGGTTACTGCTGGCACCCCGGCTTACAGGACAGCATGCTTACGGTTGTTGAATGCTTATTTGAATGTGAGCTTCGAAGAGGCGGAAGTAGAAGCCGTTCCGATGGCCACCACTCTGGGGCAGACGATCGGTTCTACCCAAGCTGGTGCCAGACACAGCGAGGATACCGATGAGGAGGATGAAAGCGACGAAGAAGATGAGGATTTTGATGAGGATGAGGATGGTGAAGATGAGGATGAAGACGAAGACAGCGATGATATGGATACGGACTCGAATCTTGACGAAGGTGCCGATGAAGACATCCCAGACTCGAAAGAATCTGTGAGCAAGGTTTTACGTGAATTTTACCCATTGGCTCTAAGAAACATCTGCCGGTTGCTTGCCCTCCATGACACTCCGACGCTCTCCCGCAGTTGGGACTGTTTGGAAGCGCTCTTCAAGGTAAGCAGAATATCTTGGAGTTAATTACCTTTCTTTAAAAATTACTCGCGTGGCTGCACCAGTGCCGCTCAAATCTGTTTTCCTTGAACCGTATCCTTTGGGTAGCGTATTTGTGTGGTATCAAACCCTTGCTATTAGTTTTCAGGGATTTGTTCAAACCAGCCGGCGTAGCTGTTTTCAGTGCCGACACATCTTCGCAGCACCCACTTCAATCCTCACAAATAGTGGTGCTTGTTACTAACACCCTCTGGTTGCTAGTATAATATCCTCACCCCAGCTACACGATTATCAAACAATCTAAAGTTTACTGCAGTCATTCCTTGTGCGTGTCCGTCATATGGTTGTTTGTGAATCGTTCTACATTTCTTGTCGCTTGTCAACACACCTTGGCGTGTTTACTCACGGGGAAGGTCGTATCCAGCAGTGTTCAGTTAATGCCGTGCAACTGTTTTTCCGGTTTGTGCCATGAAACTCTCATCTCTAGTCCCTGTAATCTTTATGTTCCCTTCTATTTTAAGCCGTGATTTTATTCCACTTGAGCAGGCCACAGAACACTACCCTGTCTTTTGTAAACTATCTGTCAAGTCGCTTTCTTCACATATCCGAAGCATGCAATTCACATGTCCTGAAATGAGTTGCTACGTCATTTCTTTGTCTATGGAACCACGTCATGTGATTTAGAACAGCCGTTTCTCCTATTCGTCTACGTCAGTCTCTTGCAGGGTAGATACCGATTGGCCGCCTATTCACAGCGTTATTGTTAGTAGGTTAACCGTTCGCACATGCCTTTATATAAAAAGCGAAAAGTATTGATTAATCGGCTTGTTTGGGATCGCGCTAATGGATTTTTTTCTCTTCGGTACACTTTAATGTTGACTGAAGTATTTTGTGAGTTTTGCGCGCCTCAAAACGGAGGTTTAGGGTAATGCTTCGGATAACTACATAGTATACTGCGGCTCCTTCTATCCGGCAGAAGTAGAAAGATGTACCTTTTTATGGACTTGTTCTGAGTGCGATTCCTCGGAAACTGGTATTATAATACAGTGCTCTCCTTCTTGGGATCTTTACTTTGTTGACGTGAGGTCCGTTGGAGTCGAATGTTCCGTTGCTATCCCGTCGAGTCGATGAATGTGACTTCGGCTCGTTCGCATAAACTAACCATATCTGACGTTTAAAGTCGGCCTGGCCAGAGTTTTGTTCAGTAATTTCATTGGTGGCTGATCCGTGACGCTGTTTCTCATTCTGTTGCAAACTTCAATGGCACCTATTTCCCTTAAGAGTGTTGAATTTTTATTGAGAAGTTTGTATTGTATATTGGTATTGATTCGTCATGTCTTGTTCGACTTCAGTGCTTCAGGTCATTCGCTTAAATGTTCTCAGACCTATCGCATACTTCGGTAGGAGGAAAATGGCGTGAAATCCCGGTTCTTGGTTATCCATACCTAGTTGATTCCGGAAGCTTCGAAACAATGGTTCTCTAAGGACTGACGATGTTCTCCTTCTATGCTTGCACTTAGGGCTGATAAAAAAAGAAACACAAGTGTTGCTTTTCCAGAGCATTTAAAAATTTACGCTGGTAGGGGTTATGAGTAGATAGGATAGGTCAATCCGATCCCGGAGAGCGGTAGCTTTCTGGAATTGCTAGGAAGCACCGATTATTTTGTCGTTCAACATAGTATACGTTACTGAGAGCCAGTGTAGGAAGGGTCAAGTCGTTCACCAAGTGGCGGACCTTAGTGCTTTCGGGATATCGTTTTCAGGTTGGCACATATTCAGCAGTTGATATCGGCTTTGTGATTAAATCAGCAGATCCCTTGCGTGACTTGGTCTTGCGTGACCAAGGCCAGCCCAGTGTTGGTCCACATTGCATTTAGCAGCATTGTGCCGAGTCGCATAGCCAAGCTGCGGCCGTGTCAGCTATTACCAAGCTACGCTTTTAAATAGATAATGACAACGTTTCCCACGTATCAAGTTAACCAGCCGTAGATATATGCCCGCTGCCACCAAATGGGAAGTATTCACGTTACTGCCTCGCAGAACCTACTGCTGAACTACGTCAGCCAGAGAAATGGTAGAGGTAGGATTGGCAAATCTACAATCATTAGTACCATACTTGTGTTACCCAGTTCCAGTATGATTAAAAAGATCTGGGTCTTCCATTCCACTGATTGGTTACCTTACCAGTAACCTTCAAAACGTCGGATCGCGGAACAGTTAAAAAATGAACCGACAAATTTACGCTCACCTGCTTGACCATTTCTGATAGTACGCATGCCCTGGCAATGGTCAAGCTGATTGTACCTGCTGGTGGAATGGATGGGCTAGTTTCAAAGTGTTCCCTATTTGAGAGGAAATGGTACATGCACACAAGCTATACTTATTGTTGCGTTATCACAGCTGTCAAGCTTATCGTGGCCTTTAGACGGAAACACCTTCGTTTTCTTATTCCAGTGATTAAGAAGCTTCATAGTGTCATGAATGATTAGATGGCCGATCTAAACATGTTGGGCCGTGTCTGAGGCAACTTGTTTACTGAAACCTTACAACCGAATAGTGCGCCCTGGTGGCGCAGACGGGTAGGTTAACATTTCAGTGTGTTCGTCAGAGGAAGGAACTAATGCACACAAGCCATAATTACTATTACATCATTATTGATGTAACCGTGATTTTGTCTTTGTGCATGGTCAACGGTCTTTTTGGGGGATCATTTGGAATCATCAAACTCTCCCGAATATCCCAAATGACGCAATCGCTCAATTTATCCAGGTAAGTTGCTCCCGTTTATCCCTCTTTACTAATCACAATCCGCCCTACGGCACGGCACTACCCTGCAGTTATGATAAGGATCTCCTAATCACGTGGGTGCTTATAATTTCATGTCAGATATGTTTAAATACAGTGGACGTGACGATTGTCGAGCTTTTTAATTTTCCAGTCTCACCCCACAGATTCTTGTTTTTTTTTCACGGCAGTAGGGTTTTCTCAAAATGACGCACGTGTATCGATAAGACAACCGTGTTGCATGCAACACCACTCATCAATTTAGTGACGAAAATTTATTCGAACTCTCTCTCTCTGCCGAACAATTGCCTATTCACCTAGGTATGCATTTCTTTGATGGTAAAACCCCTTGACATTATGAGGGGTGTCATGTCAATCGAACTACTTCTATAACACGAGTATCGTTCCAACCTAATCATCAGGCGGCCTTTGAGCGCCACAGTCATAAAATAAACCGTGTTCTGAGAAAGTCAGACCGTCGCCTTCGTCCACCTGAGCACCCACCATGCTTCTATTTTTCTCAAAGTGAACTACAACTTCTGGTCGTGATCATGTGTGGCGTGATAACCCTAACTAACGGCTTGCACGCCGGTAGATCGGTGGCGACCGTATGACTAATAACATCACGTCAGTGCACGCCGGGAACTGCTCCCGGGTAGGTATAGTAAGAAAATAACGTGAATACGTAAATATTAGTCGTTTTATTTGAAGTAAAGTGTCATTTGATTCGTTCCGTCCAACCGTTTCTTATTCGTTAGGGAGTTTATAAAAACATGGCATGGTAAACTGGAGCACCCCGCCATTTGTGGGAAGGACTTAATCTCTTGGCCTCGGTTTATGATTTGAAGTGAATAGTATTCGACGGTCGACTAGATAGATGGTTGATTGCATGAGACGAAACTGAACGTTCTAGCTTATTTGGGACACTGTCATGATTATTCAAGCCAAAGCATAATAGGTTTCATGACTTTGATTTGTAAAGATATCTGGACTAAATTTGTGTGAGTATCGTTTTTCGGGGTCGGTTTTGCTCATTTTTTCTTGGAGGAAAAGAACTCGGTTGACTGTAAAAGTCACAACAGCTGCTGCGTACGAGTTAGGCTTCATCTGTCAATCTCCAGAGTAACATTCGCAACCCGTTTTACAACATTTCTTTCGAGCAGATTCACAAGGAAACTTGTTTCGAATATGAAGCACCTTATTAAGACTACATGTCAATCAAATACGCGTTCAATGTTCGCTTCGTCTGCGAAAGGGCTTTTGTCTATAACAACTGACCACCGCTTTCACGAGATTCACTTCAGTTATCTTTTTACACGAGGTTTCATTGTAACCCTTGGGGTTTTCTTGCTGACGCATGGCTTAAAAGATCCCTAAGGGGTTTTGCAGCAGGTGCTTTTGTGGTAAGGCCACTTCGAATAGAAATCAGAAGTTGATCACAGTTCTTACCACCCAACTTGTCCGGTGATTCTTGCTCCAAGAATAACTGCTCTGACCATCATGTCAGGCCTGTGGTGAACGCGTTAAGTCCGTGGAGGCGTGAGTGATACCAAGTCCTGAGAAACTTGCTATTCACTTGGAAAACTACGTCGTCCGCAAATAGAGTGGGAAAAACATCCATCCCCATGGCCTGAAACTCTGTCGCAGGAAGCTAATCGCCTCTCCAGGTCATCCCGCTGCAATCCTCCAAACCTCTGAATTGTGTACTACTTTATCAACTTGTGCATACTTTGAGGTGTTCCACTTCTACGTGGTTCTCCCCAGGAATTCTCATCCCACTCCTAGAAAACTTGATAAGTGTAAAATCATCGTCCTAAACATGTGGTCCGCCTTTCCACTTTGCTTGTTCTACGCTGACAGTCCATCAGTATTTAGCCACGAGTTCCTAAGAGGTCGTATTCCAACGGCAACCGTACTGAACCGACGTTCAGTCTCATTTACACTGCAATCACATTTCCCGCATATTATCACTATTCACAATCGTCAGTCTAAGAGCACTTGGATCATCCTGTTCTGGCCAGTCAATACTTGAGCAACGGCTTCCTCCGTCCCCACTGTCGTGAAGCTTTAATGTCCACTGACGTTGCCGTTTCTGATGATCTTGATGTTTCAGTCACCTATTGTAAACCTGTAACCCACTCTTTTTGCATATTTTCTAGTTTGAGTTTGTGGATCCCATTATTCGTCTTGCACAGTCGGCACCTAAAGGCTGTTGCAACCTGTACCTGCTTACAGTTGTACACGGTTGGAAAACTAAGCTAAACTTCTCTTCGAAGAATAGGTTACAACTGTGTGGATTGGTCATTTCATAAAATGTTTGGATTGGTGTATCCCTATGTTTGACCTCGTTTATATCAGTTATCATTCCGTTGGTCATTATCGTCATATTGTATTTGTATGATAGTAGCGATACAGATGCTAGCAGGTAGTGGATGATATCGGTTAATACAATAAATACATTCTTCATTTTGGTGTAAGCAAAGTTCAACTGACCTTCGAAACATATTGCTCAGTGGAATTCTCTTCCATCTCTGCTGTTGCTAACACCAACTTCAAGGACATGTTCCGGCTTTTTGTGTCGCCCTTTGCGACATCATTCGACTCCAGTCATTTGTCTGGTGCATTGAGCGCATTGTATTTCAAGGTTCTCCGGTGCGCTTTTTTGTTTTCATGTATGTGATACTATTCAAATAAGTTCGATGTGATTTTTTTTTGCAGTAGCACACGTGCTGCTGTGTGTCGCCTACCCGCAGAAAAGAAAATGTTTCAGGTATCGGAGTTTTACTTTTGCGGGATATAGTCAACTTTGAATTGTTTATTGGATATGTTCAATCAACTTCCTCAAGATTGTTTTTCAATTCATCTTCACTGTAACTCATCTTCCCCAAGTTTCGAACGAAGCAGGATACATTTAGAATGCTAAATCCTAAGCGCATCAGATTCTGCCTTATTCGCACTGACTTGTCATCATCATCATCGACAGCATGACATCAGTGTTCAAAACCGATGCTTCACTGCCGTATAGTCGTGAATGTCATGGTTGTACGAAGGCTGGGATACTGCCAGGGCGCCCACACATAGACAGGAGGACGATTAGGGTCCTCAACCAAAGCCTTTGGCTCAAAAGCCTAACCGCAAGGCAGCGGTCTTTGGCGGGAAATGCAAATGCAATACCGTTTCTACGGAACAAGTCGCCAACTAGGAGGGCCAGGAGACTGTGTTTGTCAGACCTCTAACCATTGATCAACCTGGTATGAGAGACTGAGTTTCATGCGGACACTCCCCAGTATAGCTCAGTGGATCGCTGAGGTGCACAAACCGTCACACTACGGTAAAGTCCAGTCTCTTCATGACAGACTGACTTGTGTCCTACAAGATACCCATTCCTCTGAAACCTGGCCGCATAGAGAAAGAGCTTTGTCACTGATTATGCAACGCAACAGTGAACTTTTGCACACCAGTGATTGACGATGGGACATTTTGTACTGCTTGGACCTAAATAAGGGGGTTAAGTTCCTGTCTGTTGAAGTTTCTATTAACCCTGGAGAGATTGGACAATATTTCCCTCAAAATCTCTCATATGTGGCGAACTCGTTGCACAATCGACTGACATTTATTAGGCAACTAGAACCAAGTACCCGCACTGAGTCATTATGTTGTTTAATTCATCCGTCTGTGGCCAGATGTGCTCGTCATAATCGGGTTGCAAGGGAACTGCTAAACGTGAGATAGTGTGGAATGAGAAGAAGCAGAGGTATGGTGCTGATGAACATTCCCTCGCCATAATCTCAGCCCTACATGCCATCGGTTGTAATATCGACTTTTTGGTTCACCAACCGATGATCATCTCTTATCGAGGGATCTGCTTTCCTCAATCCGCTAAGGCTGCTTTGGACTGGGACTTCCTAAAGTCGCAGTCAGTGACTTGTGTTTGCTTGCCATTGTGGGCTCCCTTCGTACTTATGACACTTATGCGGGGCACATGGCGTTGAACGTACATTTTTGCCATTTAATCTCACCCCAAACCCAGTATGACGGTCACTTTGTGCCTGATGTGCGAGTCTTGACTGTGCTAGCGCACACTGCGCCTTGAAGAGCATTCACCATTGTTTGTCCTTTCTTTGGTTGTTGGTCCTTAGACGCGTGTTCCCATACCAAAATCTTCACATACTTTGGGATTCACCTCATCAGACTGGCACTGCCCTTGGCATGATTTCGAATGAGACGTTTCTCTCTTTTCTCCCATATTCTCCTGTTACTCTTTCGCATTCATCGCTTGCACTCACTTTTTATGTTTGTGACCATGCTCTTCAAAAATAAATGATAATAGGGATGAATAGTGGCGAACCAGCCCTTCTGGATATTGTCTCTCCTGAGCTCCATCCCGATTGGCCTGTAGATTGGCGTAAGTCGAATGAGACTTGTTCACACCTTAGCTTAACATTATAAATTGGCATCGTTTGTCGAAATCTTTTGTTTTTTTCCCAACCTTTCACTACCGCACCTTTGTTTTCATTTCTGAGTACTTCTTATACGTGGTCACATCGCAGCTGAATAAATTTCTTAGAAGATCGTGCGCCCTGTATCTTTTATATAATATAAAGTTAAATGCACTCGAAAACCTACCACTCGGAGTAAAATCGTGTCTACAGTATATTTCTCTCGATGTTGGTTTTTAATGTGCTCCATTTCAGTATAGGCCACCTTTCAGAAGCAGGTGGATGCTGACTGTCTCCAACTCAGACGCTTTCGGCTCAGCCTTCGAACCAGCACGGGGATTTATACCAACTCGGTAATCTTTGATAAAGGCTGTATAACTACTCGGGCTTTCACCTGTTTTGCTTCCACAAACCTCTTTTTCCTCTATCTCCACCTAATAGCGCTGGACACCAGAAACCGTTACCAGTCAGATTAGTGATCTGCGCCAAGGCATTCGTGGTGCAGTTTCGGAGCTCCACAGGACTTCCAAAGGAAAATCTGGTGAGGACGCATTCCTTCCAGGGTTCTCCGATCCCAACCTTCCTCTTGCAAGCCTTGTCAAACTTTACGCTGACTGCACACTCCGAGGGCAGCCGGATGTGAAGGAGCCGGCTGCGCAGGCACTTTCTGAGTGTATCACCCACGCGAGCGGGTCCGCTTTGCAGCGGTGTGTGGTCAAAGTACTCGGACCACTTATCCGACTGTTGGGAGAGCGTCAAACGAACGTAGTTAGGATGGCTGTGGTCGAATCACTGACCTCGCTTATCACCAAGGTACGTTCGCTGCTGTTCCTGTGTACTCGTATTAGGGCGTTTCACTCTTTAGTTCTCCATCATCATGGCTCCCTCGGTCGCAGAATCAACTGCCTGTAATCGTCATGATCATAGTCGTAGGCTCATAGTCAACCGTACCATTCGATGATTCGTAGAACCCTATACAAAAAAGTATTGTTTTATACAAGCGGTCTTCATGAGGGGGGCACTATTATAAGCCTCATTATGATGCCTTCATTTTCCCATAATTGACGACGGTTGAAGATACCCCTAGTAATTGACAACAGAGCAACCAAATTTCCTGTTTGACATGGATTTCCAGCGCCGTCACAATGCTGACACGGGAAGTAACCTGGGACTTTTGCCTAATATCGCTGGTCACTGTCCCATTTTCCTTCATCCATCCAACGACCGAGTCTCAGAGCTGTGGTCTTCCCGCTTGGTGACTTATGTTGAGTCAAAGTGCGCTCATCTTAGCTGGAGCACCTACGCGTACACGCACACACAGACACAGTTCACCAACCCGCTAGTTAGTTACATGTTTTTCGCCCAACCTCAGTTCCTGTTGGTATAGAGCGCCATCAATAAAGAAGAAATATCCATATGCATCAAACCTGGTTGTGTTAAGGTTGTGACGCGCATCATGCTAGTAAGCTTGTTTTCAATAAAAACTCAGATATTCCAGACTTAAAGATGACCTATCGCATGATTCTGTGCTCTCACACATCATGGTCTATTTGTCACCCGATCTATCGACGAAACCACTTGGCACTGTTCTGTCTACGTGAGAGGAGATCATACTACTGTTCAGCGACCGGTTGACAAACTGTTAAATGACTGATCACTGGCCGGAAGGTCACGGGTTCGAATCTCTCCGAGTTTCGTGATGTACGCATCGCTGGTCATTCCCAACAAGCCCGAAACAGCTCTACAGTGCTTCTCTGATTTTTAGCATAGATTGGCTTCACTGACAAGGTCTAATCTCTATTGAAGATCCTATAATCGATGATCAAAAGTTACTGAAGACGATCCTTGGAGAAATCAAGTGTTCGGTGCGTCTCCATTACCAGGCGTTATCATACAATTTGATAATAATATGAAACTTTAATATTTCACAAGAGATTTGATTCTGCAATTGGAACGATACATCATTGTTGCGTATCGCCAGTGTGCGTCTCACCAATTTTTGGTGAGATTCGAACCCACACCCTTATAGCTATTGGCTGAAGACTATAACTTTCGGCCACAAGTGACTGATCAGCAGTGCGATGAATCATTGCAGTGTTCCAGCTTCCAGCTGAAATTTCCTAGTTTCGAATCTTACTGCAGATTCCTCATATCTGTACTGCTGGTGATCCCGAACGAGCAAGGAACAGCCGTACAATGACTCTCATCTTTCCAGCGCATTCCGTTTTCACTCAGGATCAACTCCCAATCTGAATCTTTGGAATCTCCTCCCTGTCTACAAAATTAACCAGTATTCATTCCGCTTCACACGGCACAATGCAAAGATATGCTTTTTTATCTTAGGAACTGTGAAGGCGTGTGTGTTTGGCAGCTTCCTAGGCAGTTATTATGCTCCTCAGGACGATAATGCGTTAAGTTCGCTGGCACATCTTTGTCAGCGTGCTTCATATACGAAAGGATGGCTTCCCCAAATCTGCTCCATGTGATTGCCAACATTTTTGCTTTTCTCCAACTGTATGTGAATGAGTTCGATTTTTTTAAATATTTTTTCTTATTGGAGCAGCCGAATCACACGTTCGGCAGTGAAGCTTGTTGGCTATGGGGCCATTGGCTGCAGACGGCCTGTTTGCCCAAACATTGGAGTTAATATGGTCGATCCAGGCCTCTAGGTAACCACCTCAGGGACAGTGCCAATCTTCGTACATTTTTCAAGCTAGATCGACTCTCTGCATATGTATGGGTCGCTTGAATCATCACCAGGTATCTCCACCTTTCTCATCTCTTCGTAACGCACTATCGCATCCTCTGGATAAACAATAAAGGTGTAGCAAATCTGTTCTCCTTGACATCAAGTTTATCACATGTTCGATGCAATAAATTTCGCGATACCTTGTGTGCTTCCAGTGATAGTGCATTCTACCCCGGAAGGCCCACATTCCAAAACAAAACACTGGATTAGGGTGTTAGATTCTTTTCGTAAGGATCAAACTAGTTCTTTCTTGCTAACATCTACGCATGTTCCTAAGTGAACGAGACTCGGTGTTGTTGTGACAACTTCCCAACACCAGCAATAAACAAAGTCTGTCAGTTTGAGTGGGAGCAGTGTTCACTTGGTAGCCCTTCCTCACACACCATTCCCACTATTCCTCATCGTACCAAGTTTGACGTCGCAAGACATTTAATGCGAAAATTGAATACGACCTGAGTGGTAAATACCATGAAGCGAAGCGGCGCTATCTGGAGACGTACTATTTCTTCCAGACAAGTATTTTTTCCTTCACTGGATTGTTGTTCACTGTCCATTTTGCGAATCCACGGGAATTCCACAGCTACTCCTAAGTGTGGGTATCTGTTATACGAGCTGTTTACTGTATGTTAAATACCTAAATGCTGTCCCTTACCTTTCGTCCGCTTGCACCTGACCCGGTCATTACTGCGTTCCGATTCTTACGGTATCAATTCTTCGTACAACTCATTTTATCTCTTGTTTTTATCCTATTTCAGTGCTCGCAATCTGCCCGCCCATTCGTAACGCAGTTGCAAGCTACCTTCTTGAAGTGTCTTGGTGATTCACACCGTCCTATGCGATTGCTTGGATGTCATGGTCTGGCATCGGTTGCTGCAATCACTCCCAAGTTAGATCCCTTGCTAATGGACTTGGCACGAGTTCCGGCTCATACGGTATTGAGTAACTGGCCAGGTGAACGTATCCCAGGTATCACGAAACCCGACAGCACCCTACCTAGCGTTGGAGCTGCGGCCACTGCTCTTACGCTGACTGGGATCGCCACCTATCCGTAAGTAACCTGCTGGTAATTCTGTTACGTCACGTCTGTAGCGGCCTGTTTACCGACAGTTTTCGCAGCCTCGGACTCTTGGTTTACACCGCTCATTAACTGTTTATTACGCTTTTTAAATCGCAGATGTATCTGTCTGATTGCTTATGTGCGTCCGATCTTTTATAGGGAAACAAGTCTCCATGCTCTGCGCTTATGTCTACTTGGTTCTCGTGGCCGGGCCACAATGGACGCCTTGAATTCGGTAGTATGTTCGCTTGCTCCACTCATGTTCTTGCAAGATACTGGCTCCAAGCAACAGCAGGTTGAAGATGTGGCTTTCGGAGACACCGAGGAAGACGAAGAGGATGATATAAATCTCAGGGGAGTTGGTGGACAATCAAAGAAAATAAATCCCGTTATTTTGGCAGATGCTATCCGCGTGGTAGCTTCCGTTTGTATTGGTTTTCCGTTGCCGCAGCCCNACGCGCCTGCGAACGCGGAGACGGTAGAAGATGCTATGTTGCAGCCGGTGCGTCTATTGGAACAATATCTATTTCCGAAGACTACAATCAAAGCACGTGAGTTAGTCTTTCGGTTTTACATCAACACCTAATTTGTCTGAATGATGTCTTCCTGGATAGAACTGGTTGTTTGTCATTCACCTACCTACAACGAAACCCTTTGCACATCTATATAGTGCAGTCGCAAAGAACCAGCTTGATAAAATAAACTCCGAATCGTTCCTTCCAATGATGCATGGTTGGAAGCGAGTTCCGAGCATATGACCTTCCATTGCCTGATCTCCTAGACAGCGTAGAGTCCCAGAAACTCGCAAGATCAGCCCTGACTGTTAGCAATCATGTTTTTTTAAGTCACCTCCTGTATGATATCGCCGTTTTCTGCAATCTGATGGCGATAGTGATACCTTAGAGGAGGGTATGTCCAAACCATGGTAGTGGTACTGCAGCCGAATAATTTGTGAAGGCGTAGACCAATGCAGTATTTTCTGACAACGATGTTAGCTCCTATGTCACTCTAGCATACCTTCAGTACTCGCTATAAACCCATGGTCTAACAGTTCGAGCCTGTTAAAAATCTTCGGCTGGGACACACCGGATCTTATTTGTTTTCAGCAGTCTGAATTCGATGGTGGCCCGGTGAATACAGAGTATCGTTCAAGGAGTGTTTCCTGAGCGCCTTCATGAAGGGATTTGGAGCTGTTTGAAGGTTTTTCTGGCCTCGTCTACACGAACATATAATTCTTACCATGTCTGACCATTTGGGAGGGTGGTGAAGCCCAGGCAGTAGTAGGATTCAACATTCATATTTGTGGTGAAGTAATTCAACTTCTCCGATTCCAAGGTGAACAACCGGTTTCCACTTGAAAATTCTCTAGTAATCTCAGTCGGCTGAACAAATATCCGGTAGACTAACCTGTGGTTGAATAGTGCACCGCATGGGGTACTCTTATGTTGAGCTTCTGTATTTTCTTGAAAGCGTTCGCTCCCTACTTACCCCCTAAGCATTTCATTAATTTGGTTCCATGTAAGAGGTATTTTCATCCTTAGTATACGCTGTTAACTCAGGTAGTTAATCCCATCGAAAAACAACCCGGTACTTGCACAGCATCATCCACTTAATTGGAACTCAGTTCAACTATAGCAATCCTGTTTTATTGATCAAGATTACGAAGGCCAGATTTCTAGTCCGTTTCTTCGAAATAGCCTCATAAATTCAATCAGTTTATCAGCTATAGACCGTTTACCATAGGCACATTGGTTCCAGCTGCTACAGCTTCGATCACCGAAAAACAGGAAAGTGGGATACAAAACCAAGACTCGGAGGTGAAGGCATGCTCAGTTTGTTCAGAAATTGGGTAGCTATGCACTGAAGGCGATAGCTTTGATGCACGAGCGCCACTGATAGCCATTTCCGCCAATGTCAGTAACCACTGGTGATTTGAGTCCCGGGCTCCCCATCCAGGGGGGCTGCAGGTGCGCACCTGACTTAGTTTACTGGTTAGTGTTTTCGTATTTCGTAGCCAGATCATACATTGTCTACCTCTCGGTCGCTTCCACTCAGCACACAGCTGGGCGAAAAGAGCTCTGTGAGGCAAACGATCTTCTGACATGCTAAGTACATGTCTCAACCGGCGCAGCGTATGAAGCGTGAGTAATTCATCTATCGCGGGAGAGTTCCTTCTTCCTAGGACCATCTGGCGCACGTCAGCATTACTGATGCGACGTTCCCACCAGACCTGACCAATGCTCCGGAGACATCGATGACCAAACACTGACATCTTCCGTATGTCCTCTGTGTGTAGGGGCCACGTCTCTGATCCATAAACCAGCATGGATCGCACCACCGCCTCATGAAACTATAATCTCAGTCGGATAGTGACTTGCTTTACGAAAATTGCTCAGTTATACTACTAGGTTTCTTGCACTCTCGTGCCTTCTTAAAAAAACGTCAGTTGTATTCACTATGATTGTAAATTGTCTCCATTATCAACGGTGATCTGTAGGAATCATCTTGCGAAGTACCGACTAGTCCCCGTTCCGGTCCGGAATTCTTCACCCGCTGGGGTTCCCGATGTTTGGCCTAACGATTAGTAGTCAATACGTAACTCATCTGTCGAAAGGCAACTTCAAAGAACACCAAAATTTCCTGATGGTTCCCTCGAGGAATGGTTGGTTCTGCTTGTTGATATAAAAAATAACTTATTTTCGGAACAACAATCCAATACTACACTGTATAGTGCACCTCTCACTTCAAGCGTATTGCAGAAAATCTTGCACTTCAGATGACTGACTCGAAGTGTTCTCAGGTGAAACAACTGCTTGCTCAACTACACTAAGCCAGAAAAGCGTAAATAAATGCAGTCGATCATTACAACTGCGTAGTACTATCGAAGAGTCGATGAAATCAAAAGCCTATGTAAGGGTTTGTTTGCAGAATCGTGTGATCCTGAACGTATGGAAAGGGAAACCTTTCTACCCCAAGCTGGTGCAATGCAGATAACTCTGAAATTAGAAGGAATAGGATACTATGTACCTTTCATTCTAATGTCTAACGCATGCGTGACTACGGTGAAACCGAACCATACAACCAGGAAAAACATGCGTGCGACTCAGTAAATGTGCCTACGTTGCTTTAGTTACCGATATGAAAAAGGGAATATCTGATTGTTAATCGAGGTGGCGGATCAACTAACCTTTTGACCTGCTCTCAAAAGGATTTTGACCAAGGTATACCACAAGTGGCACCCCTTGGTCCAGGCTAAGAGAATCGCTTCGTAACAGTGGAAACAAACCGAACGTGGATTCCGGAGTAGGACAACTGTACAATAAATTTCAATACTGCAACGCTTTGATATCAAAAAGTGGATGTTGAAACCTGGAAAGTGTTCTGAAAGCCTCGAAGAAATGGAAGGATGCCTTTAGGAGAGCCAGATACAGTAGGTTACGAAATATATAAACGGGAGTGGAATGCGAGTTTGGAGTCGGTGTATTCTTGACTTCATTTCGTCTATATTATTCATTGAATTGTCACCATATCAAGTTCTTTCGTTGCTATCTGTGCCCTTATTTCCTGTCCTTACGCCCACTTTTAGAGTTCGGTAATCCCACATCATCGTCTAAACTTTACACATCCTAACAGATTGTTAGGACAACCTACCTGTGATCTGCCTTTGCCAACGACGTAGATGTTTTGACGTAAAAAGCTTGACGAGGAAGTATATGCAGTATGAAAAGCATACATTTCACTGGCCCGAGATTACACTAGCCGTAGTGACCAAGGGATTATGCCATGCAGAAATTTTACTACGAAGACCTAGGAATTATCTCTATTGGTGAAGTCTTGGAAAGTGTGATGCAGTTGATAATGAACTTTGTCCTTTGGTACAGCTCACACTTTCTAGTCGGAATCTCGGACAGTTTCATTCAACAACTTCATTGTGCAGTCAACAGCATACTCTGTTTGCGTAGGATATGACCGAGACCAACGCGGAAATCGACCACCGCGTGACTAGCACAACAACGCAAGCCACCACTGCTTGCTAGGAACGATATATCATGGACAACGGTATTTCAGTGGGCCGCTAGGTCACACCGTGATAAAGTATGGAGCACTGTATGAAAAGCCGTGGTGTCAGGGAATCGGAGTAATCTCGGTCGGTTTGCAAGGGGAGTAATTACTCGTCCACCAGAAACACAAATAGATCTAATTCGGTGGCGTATCGTCCAGCAATGTGTTAGGCCACCTCATTCGAAAAAATCAGGACTGAACCCCATTACTGAGACACATCATTTTCAATGTATCAGTTATCTCTTGCTCCTCGATTTAACGACTACCACTAGAATTATAGTTGAAACGGCACGAACTCTTCTCACATAGTCACTCAGCCTCGTATTAAGTGCTTATATCCTCGCCTGAAACAAGATCCAAGTACGTCTTTCTCTTCAAGTGCGTTGCTAAAACTTCATTTTTCCCACTTGAACTGGCAGATGAACATTGGACATTTCAACAAAGCCAGGCTCTCATCCTACTGACCGCACTAAAACATGCCCCTGGAGCCGTAATCAACGCACAAACATTGCTCACCCCAGTCGTCTCGCGTCTGGAACGATTGCTGAGTAATTTATGCTCCGCTGATAAAGTAAGTCGTTATGATGCCTGTTGTCACTCTAAGATTTCGTGGTTTGAACTAAAACCTTGACAGAGGGCATATACTTCACCAATCCAACAGTTTTCGAAGCACTGCTTTCCCAACACCCCCTTTGTTTCTTCAATTTTCGCAGTTGGGCATGCACATCAGTGCTGAGCGTTCATATGTGGACAATGTCAGTCGATCCACCTGAGGTTCTGTAATTTTTGCGGATAAGACGGTCAAAATTCGGGCTCGTGTAGTGTTCTCATACGTAAAGCTTCACTGCTCTTCGGTCCGTTGGAAGGGAACCGGTCGTGCACTCAACCCAGGGCAGTGTAGTACAGTGGTGCGGTTAGGCAGGGACACTCACCAGGACTGACTGGAGTGGATGGCAGCGCACATTTAATGAGTGACAGGTGGCGCATCATCCAACAGTCGCAGCCAGGGTTGAAATGTTTCATACACAGAATACTGGCAGATGCGACATTCCGATATGCAGATACGCTATCGTGTGACCTAGTGGCTGGTGGTCGCACTCATAACAATCGCCAATGTCGGATACATATGAAATGTCGACTGCGCTTTCACATATCCTTACTTGTGTCCACAGCTAGACTCTACACATTGATGGAATTGGCCCAAAGCTATCAGTGCACATTCCTGGACGTTTTAAGGGATACATAAATGCTTATTCGAGTGTAATGTGGCAGCAGAGACCCTCAGCAATGCAAATGAAGCTTATTGTCTTTTGTGTTTACTGAGGAGTGGGTGCTTAACTCGCTTGCCGGTTAGAGTGGACTGACCTTCGTTTATTTCAGTATTTTCCTTTCGACTGGATTTAGTGTTCTCCTGGTCCTTGGTCTACTAACCGCTGGGTAGTGGACCCGTTGTTCAAGCCATGTCCTGGCTTTTCGATCGCCCGCAATTAGGTTCCGGCAATCTGTCAGCATTTCAGCGTTCGCGCTTCCTTAGGGTTGCGCGACAGCTATGCACCAAACAGATACCGTCGCTGAATCATCCGACTTTCATCAGCTAATGTTTATAAAATACCTTTTCTCTCTACGCAGACAATTGTATGCCAACTTGGTCTCCGAGCCGTGGGCTGTTTCGTTGGACATGTCGTAGAGACTTCAGACGTCAAGTACGACTTGAACGGACCGTTGCAGCTCCTAAACAAGGTTGGTTTCCAGATCCGTTTCCGGAATACTACGATTGTTTCTGTCCTCAACATGGATGCTTACATCTGAACTTTTACTGGTGGTTGACTGTTCGGTTCAGCTCTGATCTGTGGGGGGCCTCTGCTATGCGTTTCGTGTTTGGCGTATTCGAGTTTCCCTTCTCTACCAACTCCATTCCCATTTAAGATGAGATTGTTGGATATTTCCAGCTAACCCAAACCTTTACCTAGTTCCTACTGATAAACCGAGTTGATTGTATGGAATGCGTTTTAATGCAAGGGTGCACCACAACGGTAAACTGTGTATGGGTTTTACCATGATTTTAGTTGCCACTGCTTTCTCCATCCACTATGTTGAGAAGATGAACATGGCTACCAATTTGAGGAGTGAGTATCTTTGAGGCACTGAGCACAGAGTGGAATTACAGAAGTATTTTATTTTTGTATAGATCAGCTTTTCCTTTGTGGTTAAAAACACCACTCCCTGTTTATGTTTACTTATTTTCGGTTCCGATCTTCTGTTTATGCGCAATCAGGGCCTCATGCACGATCTTGTGGATATTCGGTCTTTGACTACCACAGTGACAAGCCACATTGCTTGGCGGTCCCATTTGTCGGACAATGATCCAGTGCCGTCGTGGCTTCCCCCGTTCCTGGCCGTGTTGATGAACGCTATGCGCGATAAAGCAAGTGGCGTCCGAGTAGGGGGTGAGACTGCGCTGGTCGTTCTTTGTCGGATAGGAGCCCCCAAGGAATCCCAATTGTCCGCGTCACTCGTCCGTGTAAGTTTTGTTCGTGTTCTTTTTTCCTTGGTGTTTCAATGGCTTTGCTTCTTTGATGTTCAATCTGATGGCTATTGATCTGTTCAATGAGCTTGCAAGTTCACCTGCAAACATTCCGTCGCCATTCGAGGAGATACCATCAGTGCCTGGTGATGACTGATGACTACACATAGGCTGCCTCGTTATCAACAGCTTACTCGTTGACAGTAGCACCAGATGCGAACACTGGTGCTTCAGTGTCGTATAACCATTTCAATGTATATAAATAGAGACGTATGATGGAAAGAAAGTAATGGGGCAGCGAGGGCGCCTCAAACATCCGAAGTGCTAACACCTCCAGCACCCATGCCGTTGTCTGATGCACGCTTCGTTTTGTCCCCGCTGGTGTGCTCGTTTGTCGCATAAGTGACACAGATTAGCCTTTCAGATCTGGTGCACTACCGTCAGGCCGCCTCATTTTCTACCTACTCAAACCCACTTAAAACTTTGCGATAACGCACTGCTGGCTCCTTATCCTCAGGGATCATGAAGTGGGCGTGATCTCCGAATTTCCAGCTACCTTGTTTTCCACTTGGTCACTAATGAAACCACAAACCCAGCTTCAACTTACCGGAATACTTACATGGACATCAGCTGAATCTCGTGTGTAACAACATAAGCATTATTGGGCCATAAAAAGTAATTCAGTATCTTGAAGCTCATTATAAACGAGATTTAATTGCCGAGATCTCCTGTTTGCACCCAGCTACCTTGCATGCCTAAACCCTTATTGGTTGCAGATCAGTGTTCAAGTAGTAAGTATGGTTGATAGAAACTTGTGGAACAGATTTACCTGCTGGGGTCCAAGAAAGGCGCAACCGGTAATGTAACGTCGAAGAGTCTTAACGGTTCTTATGTGAGTTGTGTTGTATCAAGAAAAGGTCCCCTCTTTGCTCAAAGCTGGTCATGGCTATGGAGAGGGAATCAGTTTTCGTCGTCATCAAATCTTTCATCGACTAAAATCAGATTTTTCCTGTCCAAGGTTATCACCTGTGCACTAGACGGGGTACATTTTATGGATGGCCGGTATCGATGATCCATCTGCCGTTGATGATGTTTCGCGATTCATTGTCTCTTGTCATTAAAACAGAATACAATCAAGCTCATTGCGGTGAATAGTAGCAGTGTTCACCAACTATGTGCAGCCAACAAGAGGTACCACTTGATTGTTTCCAGCAGTCAGATGAACCACGTTGAATTATGTGCAAAATCCCAGAAGTTAAATCGTTCAAATGGAGGTTTATCAACTAATGCGGTACTGTGAATACAATGGTAAAATAATGAAGTTGCAGAAACCTCAACTCGTCGGATTTCGCCGGCCTCCATACACCGGTTTATAATTTTGTCATTCCAAATGGGATCCTGTACAAATAGTAAGTAGGGAATATTACGCCTGTACAAAGTTCACGGTGGCTCAAGGAAAAGTGTCCACAAATATTATGACAGGGTCACAGTGTGGTTCACGTCCAGGTCTAAACAAAAAAGGCGAAATGGAAAAAACCAAACTTGGAATCACTTTTTACACAGTAAGAATAGAGGAAACGACTCACCAATCACCTCGGTCTTTTGCGTCAAACTGTAGTTCGGGGTCTCCAAACTACACTATATGTTTGACCTCTCCCAGAGCTCGACGAAATGAGTGCACAACTACAAAGCTAAGTGATAACTACAGACAGGTCATCAATGCTATTCACGAAATCGACATATTCCAATAGAACAACCTCATTGAGGGTTTCTATCCATCTCGTGATCTGGGCACCTTGAAAGAGGATTCAGAAAATTTCTGAACCTCAACAGTCCGATCCCAGGTTGTGCGTAGATCCGTGGTTTATGGATCCGTTCCTCCTTATCGCTTCTGCTGTGGATATACCCATCAGGAATAGCTGTAATGAATAACGGTAATGAAGCTGCTACTGTTGGCGTTTCCACCAATCCGTTTAGTTGACCCTGGTTTCACCAGCTCTCTTACAACGTCCAGATAGCTAGACTAACCACTGGTGGTTCCAACTGGGAGGTAGTCTTGGTCTGGATACGAGACGCACGAACAACGGAAATCGTCTACTTCAGATGTGTATCGTCACAGACTGGTCTACTTCAGATGTGTATCGCTCACAGACTGTTACTTTGCAGTACCGATTTCCTCGATAGCGAAGATCGCCTGACAACGTGATTATCACCATCACACTAGTCCCGAATCTAAATAGGCCACGCCACCGTCAGCTGCCGGTGGTGAAAATCAATCACTGCATGTTGCTGCTTCTGGAATACCAAAGTGGATCCTCACCATGCACTTACTCACTACCACTTTTCTTCGCGTTTTTAAGGTCTATTCAAAGCACTCATACCTCGCTTAGCCACTGAGAAACTAATGGGCGAGGAACTTAAATGAAACTATCAGCATCAGCTACTCAGGGGTCTGCCGAATGGATCTTGGATATTAACGGCCACTGAGAACACATCCAAACTGCTACTCTAAGCCATAAATTATGTATTCGGTACAACCCATCAACTTTATCCAAACCTTGGGTCTCTGATGTGACCATAGCTTTACTGGAAGCCTGGTGACAGATTCTTCCTCCTCGAAACCATAACTCAACCCGACATCAGATGAAACTTAGCGTTCCTGAGGACCGAGAAGCTTAGTAGACCTGAAAGGCCGAAGAAATGCTGGAAATATTGGATGTTGTTCCATAAGATTCGTCCAACTGCTCCTCAGCGAAACTATCAGGGACGAGAATGAATATTTGACATTCAGCAAAGGAGAATGTTTGGGCCACTAGGCGCACTACTCTATACAACAAATCAGTTGACGAATCCGGAATGGCGGTCCTCAACAGAAAGATGGACTGTGATTGAGCGCCCCCTTTAGCCTCAAAAGTATTCCAGTGTACAAGTCCACCTGAGCTTCATCGTGCTCTTGGTTCTGACGACCTTCCGTCTGCCCTATTCAAAGATGGTGAATTCCCCAGCCAGTGCCTATCCAGCCTATTTGCGTCTATCTAGGAGAAAGAGACCATCCCGGAAAACTGAGTTGAGTTGATAACATAGCATATTTTCAGAAGGGTACTCGCGGTCAGCATAATAACCACAGAGGTGTAAGTTGTCACAAGGCTTCTGGTATCACTGTTTCTTTGTAATCTAGTGTGCACGCTAATCCTTGACCGGTGAGCATCCATCAAGATTTTGACCGGGTAGAGGCCGCGTCGACCTTATCTTCACACTCTGTCAAGAGAAAAAGCAACGCCATATGTGCAAACGACCCACAATGCTGGTTTTCCTTGACTTTAAGTGTGTTTTCGATCAGTCCGTTAACTATTGCTCAACAGGGACAAAAACGGCTCCCTGATATGCAACAAAGCAGAGCGTTTAGACCGCTGGGCACAATACTTGGAGCAGCAGTTCAGCTGGCCATCTGCCACCTCCACTCCAGAAACCTGGCCTTCAACAGAAAGGTGGACCGTAAATATGGAGCCGCCTTCAGTCTCAGAAGTGTCCGAATGCATTTCTCTACTCAAGCTTCATCATGCTGCTGGTCCTGATGACCTTCCACCTGCTCTCTTCAAGGATGGTGGTGGATTCCTCAGCCAGTGCCTGTCTAGCCTATTCGGGTGTATCTGGGAGAAGGAGACCGTCCCAGACAACAGGGGTAAATCGATAGTGGTACCCATTTTCAAAAAGGGTACCTGCGGTGAATGTAGCAACCACAGAGTTGTGAGCTTGACGCCTGTTGTGACAAGGTTTCTGGCGTCATTGATTCTTCGTCGTCTCATGGCGGCACGCGAAGTCTTGACTCGTGAGAACCAAGCGGGATTTCGACCAGGTAGAGGCTGCGTTGACCACATCTTCACACTCCGTCAGGTGTTAGAGCAACACCACATGTACAGACCACCCACAATCCTGGTATTCCTTGACTTCAAGGGTGCGTTCGATTCTGTTGATTGATCAGTTCTGTTAACTACACTTGC